TTGGCACATTTCACACTGTAACCTAGGACAGGGATCCACCCTGAATGATGGTTACAACTATGCCTGCAGGTCCCTCCTCCTGTTGGAAACCCTGATGAAGTGGCTTTTATTGTTATCACAGTCCTGGAAGCCAACTCAGAGTTTCAGAAGAAACAGAAAGTCCTAATCAAGCATGCAGACAAGAAGACTTTTATCCAGACAGACAAACCTGTGTACAAACCTGGACAGATTGGTATGGACAGAATGCCATGTCTTGTGAGAGCAAGAGGCCACAAAACATGGGGTAGCCTCTAGCAGTTGGAGTGGGGCCTGCTCTGCAAGGGAGATGGGTCACAGGCTTCATCTCCCTTCTAGGCTTTGAGGGATTTGGGGATACCTCTACATCAGCATGGTGCATGTTTTCTCCCATACTAACCATATTCAGACAGTATGCCAGTGTGAACAGGGCTTGTGTGTTTTGGCTGATGCAGGAGAAAAGGTTCAGATGTCAATGTGGCCAAAGCCACAATAGTCTGTCAGTGCCCTAAATCCCTCTCTCCCACAGACTTCCTCAGATGAGGATCACGGTCCTGCAGGCCCCATCACTGCCCTAGCACAGCTCAGATCACCACAGTGTACAGCTGTTTGACCCATGCCTCTCCACTCTTTCCATTGGCACGACCTTCACTGCAGGCAAGACTGAATGCCTCACCGCAGGTCCAATGTCCAGAAAAATGGTTTCTCACCAGCACAGCCAGCCTTCTCAGACACCCCACACTGCCTCTCCTACTACTTTTTTCCTAGCAGGCTGCCGGCTCACATCAGGGCTTTGAGCACAGGCCCAGGGGTGGATGGCTCTAGCTGCTGCTGTACACTCTCATTGAAGCACATGGTCTTGTCTGTCTTAGCCGTTCATTCTTATTATTATTAACAGACTTGATTTAATTTCAGCCAATCCTGTTTTTCTTTTGCTCTATAGTGAAGTTGCGAATTATAACCTTGGATCAGAACTTTATTGCCAGCAATAAAACGGTAAGTCAAGAGAGGAGAAAACTTAATAAGTCTGAAAATGCTATGGGCTGCCTCCATGACTTCTGGATCAGTGCTTGGCCTAGCTAGGTGATCAATCTGTGGACAGCTAGTCTCAGTATTGGTTTTGGTGCTTACAAACAGCATTGGGCACCACTTGCAACGCAGGAGCTTCTCATGATGTTGAGTCACGGGCAGTCCCTGGGAATTGCTTAGGGAAGACTCATAGGTGGTTGGGGGTTAAAAAATGCCAGGGAGGTGGATGGTAACTTACCTGAAAGCATCCCACCAGTAAGTAACTGTTATTTTCTCTCCACAGCACCCGCTGGTGGAACTGAAGGTAAAGCACCTACTTTATTGAAAGTGGTGATCTCACCTTGGGAAAGACACAGGTTTAGAGATGATGGGGGGGAAATACGGATGCAGAAAGCCAGTTTCCTCAGAATGAACGGGAACACTCCTTGACTTCTTGTACTTACTTCCTTTAGCATCCACACAAATTTGGCAGTGCAGTGTCATGATACCAATCACACAGGGGTCCCTGCTGTAAATGATGGGTACTGCTGAAACCCAGTGCAACAAACTTTTCTAGAGTAGTCACAGGAATTTTAGTTCCTCTGGACTATAAATTGAAGATTTGTGAAAATCCTGAAGTTTCTTTAATGAGACTTTTATATTTAACATACAGAAAATAAAAGTTTGACCAGTTAGTGTTGTGGCTACGCTAAAGCAGCTTTCAGGATATTGTTCTCAAAATCTGTTAGTTTCGCTATTATAGATAAAAAAAATGGACTGCAATCACCAGAGCTGAGGAAAGAATACCTGAAAATGGTGGGGAGATGTGAGACCCACGCAGAGAAGTCACATTCCCAGCTAGCAATTGGCAGTAGCAAATGCACATTTACATGCCATACCCACCAAGCAATCAAAAAAATGGTTTCTGAGACACCTATGCAACGCCTTATGCCAGTTTATACAAACGTAGGCTTCTGATCCAGCTTTACCCTTTCAAACAACAGTTCCTGCTTGTTCCATATGTTTATAAAGTACCCATCAACTCATCGCTAAATCCTTCCTGGCTGCGCAGCGTAACCATAGCCAGAGTTCTGCATCTTGCCCGCCCAAGAACCAGCAGTAGGAGAACACAGTCCATTATGGACTGACCATGACAGTCAACAAAGCCTCCAAATGCCCATGCATCCCAGGTCTTCACGTCCTTCTTTCTGTACTGGACTTCATGATGCCCTGCATGAAGACCTGGACACATTTTCCCAGACTTTCCTGTGGATTCAAGACATCAGACTCCCTGGTAATCACTCCCAAGTAGCTCATGCCTTAGGCAGCATGTGCTGTCAGGATTGACTCTCTCCACAGTGACCTGGGGGCTATACTAGCTCAGATCACCACAGGGATCTCTAAGAGGGACCACCTCTATCTCTTAGTGAGACAGACAGGCAGTAAACTACAGTTTTGCAGCAGTCAGTGAGGTGGCAGTGCCACCAGAGAGCAATAATATGATAGATCGACTTTGTCAATGGGACAGGGAGAAAAGCCCTATCTTCTTTGATCTTGGACTTACCTGAGCACTGTAGCTGTATCATAGATCTGGATTCTCAGGACATGAGGATATGTGCTCAGACCATGCTGCGGTAGCTTGGACATCCTGCAAGGGAGTCTCTGTTTGCACTGGGAAATACCTACTTTCTACTACTGCCTATGCAGGACCCCAAAGGGAACCGAATTGCACAGTGGCTGAATGTTACACCTGTGGGAGGCATTGTGGATCTGTCCTTCCCTCTGGCTGCAGAAGCACGGGTTGGAGAGTACACCATCAAAATGCCTGACCGCACACATACCTTCAGGGTAGAGGAGTATGGTAAGTGTCTCAGGGAGTTGAAGGGAGCAGAGAAAGATGTATTGCCTCCAGCCACCTCTCTCACACAGAGCTGAAGGGGCCATGCAGCTGTGAACAAATGTGCTAGTTGTGCTAGCACCTGAGGTGTCCAACTACCTGCCAGTAGGTGTAATCACTGACTTTCACTCGGGCCCACTGGCTTTCTCCTCCCCTATGTCCTGAGGATGGACTCAGGCACTGTCCCACAGCTGTGCTCTGGAGAGGAGACTAAGGCTGTCTACTCCCTCCACACTCTCCTGTCTAGTGCTGGTACCAGGCCCTATGCTGGTAGTCAGGGAACGAAAGGAGAGTTTTCTTCTCTATGAGCAACCATTTGGGGAAGGATGGCAACAAATTAACTCTCTCTGTTCTTACGGAATTATATTTCTCTTTCTTTCACACAGTGCTGCCCAAGTTCAGTGTCTCCATCAAGATGCCTCAGGTGGTCACCATCTTGGAGCAGAACTTCCGTCTCCATGTCTGTGGCATGTGAGCTGACTTATTTTGGCGGAAGGTCCATTCTTACTGGTTTGAAAACTGCACAGCTAATAATAACTGAGTGCAAAATGGTCTCTGTCAACCCTACCCCCACCCCAAAGTCTAGTACCCTGGCATCTTTTGCTAAGGAATTCTCCTGGACTCTCACCTTTCTCCATATTCTCTCTCCTCTCCCTACTTCTTTCTCTGTGAGTTTGCAAGTGTGACAGTGGATCCCTTCAGTAGGGCATGTGCCCTACAATATAGTACGTCTGCTGCATTGATTAGTGCCAGTGTGGAAAGAATAATGACTTCAACTTGTGGCCAGCACAACGTCCCCTAGCACTGCCTGGTGACTTGCGTTGACTTGGAGAGAATTCACCCACCACGGCCTTCTGTCTCAGTCTGAAGCAATTTTAAATTTTTGGCCTCTGCTGAGCTCATAAACCGTGAAGATACTGCAGGCTGCTGGGTTGTATAGATGTAAACCACGGGCTAGAGCTGATATTACCCACCCTTGACCCAGTGTTTCTGTGAGTGTAAGTCCTCTCTGCTGTGTTTGCCAGGTACACATATGGGAAACCCGTCCAAGGTAGTGTGAAGGCTGTGGTGTGCCGTAAACATATCCGCTATAATCGGAAGTCTTCCAAGCGCAGTATTTGTAAGGATTACACTGGTGAGGTGAGCATACAGGACATCCATTCCTCTTGCAAAAGAGAGGAGCAGGGGCAAAGAGAAGGAATAATACTAAAGGAAGGACTGGGACAGACATCAGCTATTGAAGCAGCATGCTCTTTGCTCAAGGATGAATGACTGATATGTCCTTAACTCCCCAGTGTAGCAGTCTTAACCCCTCCTGGTGATTTCTCTGACTGCACTTAGATACAGATAAAGGAAGAATCTTCTGCAGGCAGGCTAACTATTGCAGATTTGCCTACAAAACAGGTATTGCAACAGGGCAACGAAAAATACAAACACCGTCCGCAACTATTCACTTCCACTGAATGCTTTTTAGCACCATCTTTTAATCTGAGGTAAATGCCTATGTGCTGTTTCCCAGAAATAGCTGTTTTGGAGACATATAAATTACCTCTTGTTTCTAAGCAAGCAATTGCAGTTCAGCACAGATTTTACTTATTTATCTCTAGGGCTGGATTAATGTATCTATATTTGTTTACATATTTTATGTAACCTAGCACATATCTTAAAGATAAATCCTACGCTAGCAGAAGAAATCATGTTATTAGGGAGAAACGACAACTCATGTTTGCTACTGGCACATGAGTGAACGTGAAAAGATGAGTGAAACATCATCTCCTATTAGTGACTACTCCATGTAAAAGAAGCATGTTTCATGCCAGTATGGGAGTTGCTCCTTTAACTCAAGTGTCTTAGTTGTGTATTTATAGACTGCTGGGCCTTGGGTTTGATCTGCACTGCAGAAGGGATTAGTGCATTCATGATTGGTTAACAGATAAAATTTCACATCCCCAGACAAACAAGGATGGCTGCTTTGCCACTGAGGTGAATATTAAGATCTACCACCAGAAGCATGGTGACAATTCTGATTTCAACCTGGAAGCTGTGGCTTTTCTGAAAGAAAGTGGAACAGGTAGCAAAAACTGATTCTACACTTTGTGGAAAATCTTTCCTTTTACACTCACACAACATGCTTGTCTTTGGGTTTTCATCTGTAAGACTCCTTATGGATTCTTGTGTCTTCCTATCAAACCACTGGAGCTTTCTGCACTGGCTCTCATGGAATCAAGTTGGGTTGTGTCTTCCCTGGGAGCACCATGGCAGCATGGATGTTCTCATGTACCATACCACCCAGGTCTGACTCACATAGAACATGTGAGTTCTCCCAGTTGTAGGATGGGCTTTACAAGTATGCCTGCTCCTCCACAAACTGTTGTGGCCAGTCCAGCTCTGAAGTCACCTTGGTGTAGCAGAGATGGGCAAGAGCTGGTTTTTGTTGTCTTCTAGTCACCGTAGAAATGTGCACAGAGGTGAGCCAGGCCAGGTTCTTTTGTTCTTAAACCATACTTTAGGAAATTCCATTGGAATGAGGAGATACTCAGAGCAACCAGTGATAAACAAGGCCCTGACTGTAGCTCCTCATTAGATTTATCTCCACATCCCAGATAGGGAGATGAGGCTACTTGTCCAAAGCTGCTCTTAAATATCCCATCCTGTAAGGTTTCCTCTCTTACAAAGTTTTACAAACCCTTCCTTCCAAGAAAATGTTTTGCAGCCCCTTGCTGAAAGCAGTGACATACATTCACTTAGCAAATAACTGCAGTGATTTCAGATGGGCACCTCACGACAAGACATCAGACTGTAAATTAATGTGGTGAAGGCAAGAAAAAATGTTGCCTTCTAGTGACTCTGCTGTGAGAATGGGAGGAGAATGGAAGTGAATGATTATGAGTAGGAGCATCTTAAAGTAAAGAAAGAGCATTTGAGAACTGTCCAGCAGAGACCTCCTGGCAGGCTGCTGTCCTTCTAGCAAATCAGAATGTAGGAAGTACTACTGCTGAGTGCATGTTAAATGACTCCCGAAATTACACGGAGAAACTACAGCCCCCTATGAGCGACAGTCCATCCCTTACCACAATCCATCCAATCTTGCTGCCTTTGCTCAGACACATGATACTCACCTGCATGCACCTCCTGTCTTTCCTAGGGGTGGAGTTCAACACCACTGAAAACTGCAAGGTCACTTTTGACATAACAACTCTCCAATTCTGGGGGACAAGCTACTACTATCAGCAAGGAGCCCCCTACTATGGAAATGTAAGTGAACAGGGCAGAAACATGGAAAGCCCAACAGCTGGGCCTAAGGGGATGGTGGGCACAGAAGTACTGAGGGGTCCCCTTGCTCTGAGCTTCCCAAAGCTGCTAGCACAGCCTCTGTCCCAGTCTGTCCTTTGACATCTCTACAGAGGTAATTCAAAGGTGTGACCACAGAATAGGCATATGGCTTTGCCAAATGAGATGGCCACTGCATAAATGTGAAGGGGTTGGATGAGTTGGAGTTCACAGTGAGAGTCCCTCTGCAGAAAGGTGAACTGGGACTTTTACTGTGATGTAGATTTTCAGTCCCAAGGCCTCCAATTCTCTGACTGTTCTCTGCATCGTTACAGCTGGAACTCAAAAGTACCAATGGGATACACCTGAAGAGCAGGGAGGTGATTCTTACAGTGTCCTATGGTAGCAGGAAGCAGACCAAGACCTACTTCACCGATGACACTGGGATGGCTTCTTTCACCCTAGAGACATCAGCATGGGACAACAGCAGTAAAGTTCTACTACAGGTTAAGCCAAATAATTACAATGGATTTGGCTAGCACCAAGCAATGCAGCCCTCAGACCTATGTCTATGTCATTTTCTCAGTATAGCCAGGGAGATGAAGGCATGGAGCAGTGAAATGACAGATCTAGGGCAAGAGGAATAGCCCATAGCAGAGCCAGTGTTCTGGCCTCTGGTGTCACAGACAGTTCCTGAGGAGTCAGGAGACATGATGAGAGATGGGACAGTGGACAGAGGCCCCATGAAGTTGTGACTGATGTCTATCTACATAGCACCTCTGTCTGAGGTGGAAAGGGCTTTGTGGGGCTGGGCAGGGACAGAGAGCAAAGGAAGAACTCTCATATGGTATGGAACAGGAATATAGGAAAGGAGCTAGGGAAGAAGCATCTGAAAATACACGTGGAGAAGAAAATGTCAGTGACCAGTTGGCATTATGTTTCCTCATAGCATGAGAGTTAGGAGAAACCTGGGATGTAAGAGGCAGAAAACCTAGGAGAGAAAGAAGACAGGTTAGTAAGGAAGCAGTCGCTGCAAGCCAGTCTGAAGCAGAGCAGGTAACCAGGATGTAAGGCGTTAAATAAGGCTGCCACACGCAGGGAACAGAGAGAGAAAAGTTTGCATCTGCTTTCCCATGAACAAGGAAGGCTCTCTTGTCTGATTGTAGGGGTAGGCTTCTAAGACCTGTTCTATTGAAGCTTCAAGGTCAAGGTACTTCAAGACAAGCCCTGTCTCTTTATCAGAGTACATACAGTATCTTAGATGATGGATCTTGACCTTGCTGGAAGTCCACAAGATGTTAATATCATAGTCTCAGCGAAGAAGGTCATAGGTCAAAGATGAGCAAGTCTATTGATCTTCAGTTGTCCCCTGCCACCTCTACCCTATGGATCAGGGAGAGTGCTAAAAGAAATACAGTGTGCAATTGGAATAACGGAATGGTGAAATATATTATCAGGGCAGATCCATGCCAATACTGTCCCCACACATACCAGACAGAAGCAAAGGGTTCAGTGGTTTGATCCAGGGACTAATAAGTGACTCTTCACAGTCTAACAATCTGGCTTCATCCCAGGCTAGCAGCAGCATTGCAGAAGTTCAGGCTCTAGCAAAGCCCTAGTAGTATACAGCTTCTTGCCTTCTGTTTATATGCTAGTTATCCCAGAGCATGGTGGAGCAGGCAATGCCAGGCTCCACAGGAATGGACTGACTGAGCTTGGCTTAGGTGGAAATAGACACCTTAACCTGGGAGAGTTCAGAGCCCACTCTCCAGTCAATCTTGGTTTTGGCGCAGGGAGAGCTCTAAGAAATCTTCAGACATCAAGCCACCTTTTCTGTGCCACAGGCAAAGACCCAGCCGGAGGACTTAAGCAGTCAAGATGTGAGGGTGTCTTATGGCACTGCATCCCTCACACTGAGGGCCTTCTACTCTTCCAGCCACAGCTCTGTAAGGATCCAGCCAGTGAAGGCAATGCTGCCCTGTGGAGACGTGCAGCAGGTCATTGTGCACTATCGCATCCTAGCCACAGAGCTGGGGGACGGGGCTGCCAGAGCAGACTTCTACCACCTGGTAAGTGCAGGGTGGTGCTGGCAATGAAGTCAGCTTTGCGACAGGTCTATGTCAGCACAGGGTCCTTTGCTGTCCCAGAGACATGGGGCAGAGGCACTATAAACCCTTTGCTCTGTTCATTACCCTTTAGGTTTTGGCCAGAGGATCTCTTGTTCATCATGGCCAAACAACAGTACTTCTTGATCCACCATCAGGTAAGAGCATCCAAACACCAGGAACAATTAAGGACCCAACATGAAAGACCATCCAGCCTAAATGGGAAGGGGAGAAAAGATATCTGAAATCAACAGGAAACAACAGAGCTGGCACAAAAAATCAAGAGGAAATGGCAAATATGTTGTCTCTTTTACCTTTTCATTTCCCTAATTATTTTTTTTTCTGATCAAATGGTGAAATTTTTAGAGTTTATCTGCCAACAGGAATTATCAGAGACCTCCAAGAAAACTCACAGAATCTTTTTGCTGGACTCAGGTGGAAAGTAATTTCTCTTTCAAGTGCACGCTGTTGCCAAGATCCCTTACGATATAAGGTCACTGCTACAAAATGGCACTAACTTACATCCTGGTCTAGCTGTGGCCTCCCCAGAAGAAAGACAGAATAGTTTTTATCCAAGTAACTGTACAGAAGTATGTTAAAGCACGTGCATGTTGCTGCTGTAATACTTGGAGAAAGACTTCCTTGACTCTTCCTATACTTATTTCTATTTCTCCTTTTTCCCTCAGATCAGTATACTGGTGTTTTCAATGTCACTCTGCCCATTGACATAATTTCACCCATGGCTACCCTCTTTGTTTACACTGCCTTTCCTGAGGGACAAGTGGCAGCTGACACCTTCAGTCTGAAAGTCTCCAAGTGCTTCAGGAACCATGTAAGTAGTGCACAAAGTGTAATGGGAGGTAGGCTGGAGGGTAGCTAATTATCTGCAATTTGGCAATAGATGTCCAACAGAATCCAGTAGCCACAGTCTCCCCTTTCCTTCATCTGTCAATGTCTTCAGTCTCTCTTTCTTCTGCTGTTTCAGGTGAAGCTTGGCTTCTCAGACACAGTGGCTCTCCCAGGATCAGCTGTCCATCTCCATTTGCAGGCTGCACCAGGCTCCCTATGTAGCATCCGTGCTGTAGACCAGAGCATCCTTCTCCAGAGGCCAGAGGCTGAGCTATCCAGGGATAGCGTGAGTCAGTTTAGAGATGGAGAGATTGGAGAGATGTCTTTGGAGTATCTGGTTGCGGACACTGGTTAATCAGGCAGAGTGGATATACCAACAAGTACTTGAATGGGGACAGGACATGGCTTAATGAGAAAGACGGAGGCCAACATCGAACACTAGTCAAAATATCCAGTCTCTACAGAGGGATCTAATAGAATAACCCACTGTCATCCCCAAGTACAGCCCAAAGTCACATCCTTGTTAAACTTCGCCTGGTTTGCCACAGTGGCAACCAGATAGCAAGAGACTTCCATCTCCTGAACCAATTCACAACAGTGCTCTGAAAAAGAGTTATGCTAAAAAAAAATGCCCAGTGTGTGATAGGCTCCATGTCTTTCTTTCAGCTCACGTGAACCAGACAGTCCTTCCATTCACAGACTGGGCTGTAAGTGATGCCTTGGAAGTGGAAGGGTCCCATTTCTCCTCTAGACCTGGGATGCATTAGGTCTAAGGACCCTTGAATTTCCTCTTGGCACTGTCTTGGTGGATCCAGGATGTGCCTTCAGTCAGACAAGAAGCTAACTAATGCCTTACAGGGAAGGTATCCTCACTGTATGTATTGAGCTCAGGTATAGGTACAATCTATGAGCTAGAAGTGGCCACAGCTATGCAGATGTACCCATACCTCTGGTGCTATGCATCTAAAACTTATGGAGGCTCTCCACGAAGCTCAAAAATCTTTGGGGCTGGGCTTTTGTGGCAGGCAGGATGCAAGCTCTGCTTCTGTGGCCACAGAAAATCTCAGGATAGAAATGAAAAACATCTCGCCTCTCACATTGACCTGTACTGTTTTCATTCTCTGTCTACAGGTGTACAATAGGTTCAGCTATTCTCAGGAGCACCCCAGCACCCTTACAGACTCTTACAGTGACTACTGCACTGTCCACAAAAGCCCAGGAATCACCGGTTCCACTCAGACCTCTCTTCCACCAGGAACAATGTCACCGTTCATGTACAACACATACTCTTACGCAGTGTCCCAACCAGATGTTTATGAACTTCTGAAGGTGAATCTAATTTCCAGATAACCTGAAATATCAGAACTGAGCCCTTTTGTATCCCAGGTCAGCTCTAGATAGCTTCACAGATCGTCTTTCCTGTAAACACTGGCAACTTCAGGTTCTGAATTTGCCAAGCTTCTGAACTAAGATCTCTGACACTCCATGCTCCCAGCTTGATAAATTCCCATCAATCAGGAAGATCCCTAAAACACAGCGCCCTGTTTACCCCAAGCTCAAGACCCTCAGACTTTCTAGGGTTTGGAAGGAGAGGGGGGTGTTAGACTAAGTCAGAGAAAACTGGAGGTTGGAAAAGCGAAGTACCTGAGAAAAAAGGAGGACAGGGGAAAGAAGGTAAAGAATGGTAGAAAAGAGTAGCAGGTGAAAGATGAGGACAAGTCTGTGTTAGGGTGGGCAGCAAACTGTGGTGCCAAAATAATGACTTTGTGTGTGGGCATGCACATGCAAGTGGTCACCCTCACAATCCTGACTTGAGAGACTCCATTGGCCTGAGGGGCCAGGACTGGGCTTTGGGAGCAGGGTGGTCCTGCATCCTCTCCCTGTAAAAATTTGTGGGTCAGGCTGAGGTGCAACAACACAGGATGACTGATATGCTGGGAGGTGGGGGCAGAGACAGACACTCAGCTACACCACTCCCTCCATTGAAATCTACCTTCTTTTCTTCCCCTTCTTTCCTCCAGAATTCAGGTCTAATATTTTTAACCAGCCTTAAAATCAAGTCTCCAATTGAGTGCCGCACCCAGAGCGCTTTCTACTACGACTACATGTGTACATCTCAATTTATCCTGTTTTTTTTGGAAATCACGGGTAACATACAGGCTGCACAAGGGTAGCTGAACAGGCAGTGTGCTGAGGAAGTGGAGATAACTTCAAGAGATGAGTGGGAGGTTGCACAGGAGATGTGCCCCACAGGTAGAGGGGAAGAGTCCTGATGTGTGTGTGTGTGTCCAGTGCACTGGAGGGGAGGAGGGGTGGCTGCATAGGAAGAACCTGCTTGGAAGATTCTGCTGTCAGGCAGGAAGATAATATGGTCAAGAGGGAAATGAGGCAGCTGTCTCAGGATGTAGTATCTGTTTGAAAAACTAGGAAAGTTCTTGCTGGAAACCAGAGAACAAGCCAAGACTGGCCCTGGGCAGTATCTAGGCCTTTCTGTAGGGGCTGTGAACAAAAGTGTGAGCAGGCAGAGTTCCTAATGGAGGAGCGCACACATACTGGAATCCACATGGTCTCCTGGGTTGTCTCATGGAAGACAGTAGTGAAGTAGGTTGAAGGCATCTTGGAGAAGACAAGGGGTGTCACAGTGGGAGTGGGAGGCATGGAGAGCTGAGCTTTTCCCAGTTGAACTCTATCCTGATTTCACAGTTGCTCTGTCTTTGAATGAATGCTTGCATTCCCAACAGCTTATGGTGAGCTGGCAGACTTGGACAACTCAGACCCAGAAACAGATGCTGCTGTTGAACGTGCTGAGTCAGAGCATGTTGAGCTGGGTTACGAGGCAGGACCAGTACGTACCTGGTTTCCAGAGACATTCATCTGGACTTTGGTTCCCATCGAGTGAGTAATTATGGACTGTGGCCCCAAATGGATCCAGACCTCCTACCACCACAGTGGAGAGGGAATGGGCAGGAGCAGAACCAGGGCATTGTTGCTTTCTGTGACCACAAAGAAAAGGGAGGTGTGAAGAAGTGGGTAAGGACAATGGAGATTTGGTTCAGTTCCTGGCTCTGCTTGAGGTTTTCCAAATGATCCTGGGGAACTTAAAATCACAGACTACTATAAGAGGGAAGAGGCCTCCAAAGGTCTATAGCTCAACATCCTGAGCAAAGCAGGTCCAGTTAGATCATGTTGTAGTCAAGTTCTCCATATCACCAAAGATGGAGATTCCACAAACTATCTGGGCACCTGTTCTAGTGTTTGGCCATCCTCATGGTATTTTTTTTTCTTTTCTCAAGTCAGAATTTCCCATGTTCCAACTCGTGTCTGTACCTTTCATCCTATCAATACTCTCAGAAAAGACTGGTTCCATCGTCTCTACACCTTCCCAACACGTAGCTTTAGAAAGTTGAAAGATGTCCCCCTAGCCTTTCCCTCTTAAATTTGAAAACCACAGTTCTTTCAGCCATTCCTTGTACCTCAAATGTCCCAGCTCTCTGAACATCTCGGTAGTCCTCCACTGGATGCATTCAAGTATATCAGTATTTTTCTCATACTGGAAAGCAAAAATGGGGCACAGTACTCCAGATGTGGGCCCACAATGGAGGAATACAGGGAAAAAAATAACTTTTCTCAACTCAGTGGCTACAGTCTACTTAATACAGCCCAGTAGCAGATGGCCTTCGTTGCTGTAAGGGCACATGAGATGTCTCATGCTCAACTTGTTATCCACCAGGACCCCCACATCTTTTTCTGCAAAGTTGCTTACTAACCAGTCACTGCCTAGCTTGTACTGTGGCATGGTATTCCATCCCAGATACAGAATCTACCGATTTTCAAGCCCATTTTTCCAGCTTGTCGAGGTTCCTCTTAATAGCAACCTTTCCTTCCAGTGTATCAGGAATCCCTCCCCAGCAAGGTATAGTCTGCTAATACATAGCAAGACTAGTCTGCTAATCTTGCGGAGGACATACTCTCTCCTATCATCCAGGTCATTAATAGAGCCATTAAGCAGTATTGGCCCAAGTGTCAGTCCCTGAGGGATACCACAGATAAACAGTCACCAGCTGAACTTTGTGTCACCAATAACCATCCTTTGTCCCCAGTGGTCCAGCAAATTTTCTGCTCACCTTGTCATCCACTTGTCCAGTCCACACTAATCTGGTTGCAAAGATACTACAGGAGACTGTGTCAAAGGCCTTGCTAAAGTCTAGCTATGCAGCATCCACTGTTCTGCCCTTATTCACACATCTCAGCTTTCTTAGTTCTCCCACATGCCAATGTTCTCCATCTGTAAAATAGGATCTCTACCTCCCCGTCTTGTTTGTCTGGATTGTGCCCATTTCAGGGTAGGGACTGTCTTCTGTTTTGTGCATGCAGATCTGTAAGTGGCACTTATAATGATGACTGTGGAGCAGTATTTGGGAGTTTGGGTGGTAGTGTGGTGGAACTGTCACATGATAGTCCCTGGCACAGGCTGGGTGTATGACAGGGACACCTGGGAGACTTGTGTGCCCACATAAAAAAAGAATTTGCGATGCCACACTGTCAGAAGCAAATTTTGGTTTGCATTTGCCTCTCAGTCATTCCTTGTCCACCTATTTGCTATCCTTCCTATACCTCTGTTCTACTTCCTACACCTTCACATGCACTTCCAGTTCATAGTCCTTCTGCATTTGTCTTCCCAAGAGAAATCTTTACAGGGATAGGGGCAATCCCTTCTGCTCTGTTTTCTCCTCAGTGATTCAGGGGCTGCTGAGCTAACTGTTACAGTACCTGACAGTATCACAGACTGGAAAGCCATGACCTTCTGCTCCTCAGAGAGCCATGGGTTGGGAATCTCAGAGACTACCAGCCTGCGAAGCTTCAAGCCCTTCTTCGTGGAACCCACCTTGCCCTACTCTGTCTTTCAGGGAGAGTCATTTCCCCTGAAAGTCAAAGTCTTCAGCTACCTGAAGCAGTGCATGGTGGTGAGTGGCTCCTTCCAAGATGGTTTTTGGGCAGGGGGATGTGTGGTAACAGTACTTCACTGACAGTCCCAGACAAGGGGCTGCCTTCTCAGGCATTGGGCAAAAGACACCGAGGAATCTCTTCACAAAGCTCCATGTAGAGCCATCTCTGTCTAGCTTATCCGTTCCCGTAAGCTCAACCCTACAGGACTGCAATGTCCATGGGCTGTTGATGTCCCATAGGTATTGCAACAAGGCCATCATCATACCCACCCTGGGCTTCTGAGCTTGATTGACATTTGGATCAAGTAGCTGAAAGGAAAAATACAGCAGCATCTCTGTAACCCAGACTCCCCTTTTTTTCGCCTCTAGCTCCAGCTTAGCCTAATGGACTCCAGGGATTTTGAATTTGTGCATGCAAATGTCAGGTTCACTCTTTGTCTGTGTCCTGATTCAGCAAAAACATTTTCCTGGGATGTGAAGGCTACAAAATTAGGTAAGGGGACAAGGGAGGGGCAGGAGTGGGAGGCATTGTCAGAGCTGCTCAAGGAAACCAGAGCTGGGATGGAAAGGAAAGTGGCCTATTATGCAACGCATAAGTAAGCAGCCTTAGGCTGAGCAAACCAAAACATAGGCACAGATGTGCCAACTGGCCTCTTGATATTTTATTCTTTAGGGAAGGTGAATTTCACTGTCACTGCTGAGGCGATGGAGCAGGAAGATGTTTGCACTGAGAGTATATCTGTTGTGCCAGAGTCTGGAGGGAAGGACACAGTGGTCAAACACCTGCTGGTGAAGGTCAGAGTACGCTTCAAGGTCCTGGCAAGGTCGGAATTGGGTCAGGCTCAAAATGGCCCAGTGGGTGGCTCTGGGAAGGGAGACTCAGCTGGGCAGACAGGCACATTTCTCAGGGAAGCTGGTCAAGGAGTGATTCTAAGGGTAGGTTAGGTTGGGGCATGAGTTGAGCACCTCCACTTGATGGGACAGAGACATCAGAACTGCTTGCTAGCAGGGCATTGGGGGCAAAGGCCAAGTAGCAGCTTGGAAACCTGCTTCCCAGTGAAACTTCTTTGTCAGCATGCATAACCCTTCTGTGTGAGACCTTTCGCATGGCCCATGAGGACAGAAAGGGTGCTTGTAGGAAGGTGAGGTGCTGCACAGCTGCGATCTCATTTTACTGCTCTCCCTTCTGAGCTGACCAGCCTTTTCTCCACCAGGCAGAGGGGCTGCTGGAGGAAAAGACCCACACCTCACTCCTGTGCCCTAAAGGTAGGTGCAGGTACCCCAGAGACAGGGACTGTCTTACCACTGGGGCTGTACATACATACAGAACAAGGAGATGAAACAGAAGGAGTGTGGTGTCTGAACAACTCCAGGACTATCTGGAGGTGCATGAGAAGGAGAAATTCAGGGATTGTGGGGCATTTATGGGGAGGCAAAGCTCCTAGCAGCACCAAGCCGCTGCCTAACCACAATCACAGTCACGCATCAGCAGGCGGGCTGATCTCTGTGTCATCTTCTCTTTTGAATGCTGATTTCACCAACTGATGAGGTGATCCCAGCCTTGTTTACACAATGTCCTGGGCATGCCTGTGGGTCTGACATCTCCCTCCTGCCTGTTGTTGTTCTGGCGCTTTTGCCATTTGCAGGAACTTCAGCTTCAGAGACAATCACTTTCACTCTGCCAGAGAATGTGGTCCTTGGGTCGGAGAGAGCCCACATCAGCTTATTAGGTGAGATTTAGGGGAGTCTTGGAAAGTAAGATTTTTCCTTGCAGGGGTCTTTTCTTCTGCTGTCACCATGTCTGCTTTAGCAGAGTAACAAGAGAAAACATAATCAGTGATGTGTGATACCGAGCCCTTACCTCTTCCAGAGAAGCATCCCATCTGTCTTATACAAGTGATGCTGAGCGAGATGGACGTGTAATTTCACCCAGCCAAGGGAAAGATAGACAAGTACCATATCACTGTTCCTACAGGACTCTATAGACATTAAAGTCACCCTAGTGTGAGCAGAGGTGAACTGAGACCAGTCTTAGCAGGTTATCTGGAGAATTGGTGAGACCAGAAATTTTTTACATGCAAAAACATGTAAAGCTTCCAAAGATGTTGTTGTGTCCTACAGGCGACATTTTGGGGACAGCACTGGACAATATTGGTGAGCTTCTCCAGATGTCCAGTGGCTGTGGTGAGCAGAACATGGTTCATTTTGCCCCCAATGTCTTTATCACAAGATACCTTGAAGAAACAGGACAACTGACTCCAGAAATCAAACAGAAGGCAATTGGCTATCTGGAAAGTGGTGAGTAGATTTCTGCTTATGTTGGGTTATTAAGCTGGTGATGTCCATTACAGTAGGTTGTGCAGTGGGGATCTCAGCAGAGGCTTGCTGCTGAACAAAATTTGTGCGGCATCACTTGCCTGACATCATTGGAATTACAGTGGTGTAAATCAGGCTGCTGCATCTCAGCTGAGCAAGGGGTACATGTCACCCCTCTGAAAACCCTTTGCTGAATTCCTCAGAGACAATGCACTCTATAATGATCAGCAGAATTGGCAGGGCAGGTTGTCACTTTGAGAAGATGGCAAACACAGAGCATCTTCACTACCCCCAGCCTCTTCCCACAGGATATCAGCAGCAGCTCCTGTACAAGCATGCAGACGGCTCATATAGTGCCTTTGGGGAAGGAAGCGAGCCAGGGAACACATGGTAAGCAGAGATATCCAGACACAGTTAAGGAACAACAGCTTGACCTGGTCAGGCTCAAACTGGCTTGGATTTTAGTCTGAGGAAACTGGGGGAGTCTGCAGGTTTGGAGTTTTGAACAAAAACTGCTCCTGAGAGGTTTTGGAAGAGAACCCTTCTGATGAAGTGACTTGAGGTACCCCTGTTTGATTGTTTGTGCTTGGGTATACCAACTGAGTCTGATTCTGAAAACTTGGCTGGGAAGACAGTTTCTTTCCAGGTTTTCCAGAGTGCTTTGTGCCAAAGCAGGATTGGGAAAGGGGCTGAGAGAGCTCACTAAATATCAGCCATCCCGGCTTTAAATAACACAAGTGCACCCTGTTGGAACTGGCAGAACTCTGGGGAAAGCACTGAACTGTCAGTGAATTTTTTCTCTCTTGCTGCAAATGGATCTGAGCTCGAGCTTCAAGAGTATCTAACTTATGTGCATTGCTTTGAATTCTCCATCTGCACAGAGGCTCTGGCCTGCTGGTATTTCTCCAGGGGTGAGATAGTGGAAGACACAGAGACTCCTGTCTCTTACCGGAGATGGGCGTCAGTGACTGGTTTGATTTGATTTTCTTCTCCCTTCCTTGGCTCTAGGCTTACTGCCCTTGTCCTTAAGACCTTCAGCCAAGCCCGGGACTTCATCCACATAGATGAGCAGAATATAAAGGATGCTGCCAGTGCCCTGATTAAAAGCCAGACCCCATCTGGCTGCTTCAAGAGTGTGGGGAAGCTCTTCAACAATGGTCTGATGGTATGACATGTCCTGGCTGTTCATTAGGTACCTCAGAGGTCCTTCACTTTCTAGCCCAATCTGGGTGCCAAACAAGCCCTACTGCAGGAGGGAGGCTCTGATGTGTCCAAGGTGACATTCAGGGTAATGCTTAGTCATAGTAGCACTTTTTCAAGTTATGAATGATGGAGGTTTGTATTTGATGATACACACATGGGAACTGAACCAGTGCCCTGCCCTAGCCCCATCTCAAAAGCAAACACATGCCTCAAAAAAAAAAAAAAACAGAAGTTTTCAAGCTCTGTGTTACTCCCCTGGTAAACTGGTTTAGCTTCCTTTCCCACTAATGAGCTGCCATTTCTTCCTTCAGTCTGAGTTCACCCCTGCACAGAGAGAAATTGAGTGAATGGAGATTGATAGTGACCACTCAAGTGAGATTCATCTTGCCCCAAATGTGCCCTATACACTCAGAAACACAGCACTTGCACATGCACAGACACACACAGAGTACCACCAAAGTGGAGCCAGCAGAAGTTCGATGGACAGGACCTCAGATAATTAGTCCACTAAGTGAAAAGAATGGTACCTTTCACTTCCCCTTGCAAAAGATACCTTTTCTTTCACTCCTCCATACCCTTGCCACTGTCTTGACCCTCAAGTGAGGTGCCACCTTGCAGCAGGGTTGTGGGAACATCACTTTTCCCTGGCACTGAAATCTGCTACTGAAAATCCTTTGCAGGGGAGGGGAAAGGGGAATGTGCTCAGCAGAGGGAGGGAATCAGCTACCTAGAGGAGCCTGGGGCACTGTGGCTGAGAAGTGCTCTGGTACACAGGACCTGCAAGAGTAGATACCAGCCCTGGAATTTCCTTATCCGAAGACATAGAACCAACAATGTTGCCTGCACTGGCTATTGCTCGGGGAGCAGAAGGAACAGGAAAACTTCTTCTCCCTTCTCACGGCAGCCCTCCTCTTCTCTGTTCTGTGGTGGCTGCAGGGTGCAGTGGAGGAAGGACTGGGGCTGAGCTCTGCGATCGTCACAGCTCTCATACACTCAGGGATACCACGCTCCGTAAGTATTGGCAGCAGGGACGAGCTGTGTGTGCAGCCTCTCAGCAGGCAGTGCACTGGTGCTCTGCCTTTGTGCACACAGGGGTACATTACCAGTTTTCTCCCCATGTGTCCTGTCCCTGTTTCCACCCGCCTCTGCGCATGTCAAGGCTGCATTCCCTCCCCATACACCCTGCCAGCAACTGATATGCTTTCAATTTTATCCTAGGACCCAGTTGTGTGGAAAGCTCTGAAATGTATAAAGGACCTGGTCAGTGCTGATACTGACAGTTCCAACCTCTACAGCCTGGCACTAGCTGCAAATGCCTTTGCAGTAGCAGGTGATAAGGCCCTCAGGCAGAAAATCCTCAACAGATTGGATAAGGCCGCCATAATATCAGGTACCAACGACTGTGGGGCAGGAGAGAGGGCCATTGGCAAAATTGTGTGGAAATCTCAGGGCTGAATGACCAAGGGAAAGGAGAGCAGGAGTCGGGGGCACTGGCAGAGCTCTGTGGGGAGCCCAAGGCTTGTTTGCCAAATTGACACTGGCTATTTCCATACTGTGAGACAGACTTTCTCTATGGATGTTCTCACAGTCCTGGTCTCTCAGTCATCCAAACCAGGAGAGCTTCATGGATGTTGTAGATCTCCTTCCCAGGCTGCAGGCCTGGGATTTTACTGGGAAAAGCAGGGGGTGGGGGCAAATAGGGAGATATGCACCCATATCTTGTCTCAGTGTACATGTTCACTCAGTACCTAGGCACAGGGGCTGAGAAGGACTCCAAGGTTATTAGATACAGGTATACACTTCATAGGTGTTCCCACTCCACCTCTAGATGACCAAATATTCTGGAGTCAACAGTCCAAACAGGAAGAAGACTACTTATATTGGTATCGGGCTCCATCTGTTGATGTGGAATTGACATCTAGTATTCTCATGGCTCACCTTTCGAAGTCAAGTTTGTCTTCAGATGAAATCAGAAAAGCATCCCAGATTGTGTCTTGGCTCACCAAGCAGCAAAACCCTTACGGAGGCTTTGCTTCAACCCAGGTAATCTCCTTGAGCCATCACCAGCAGAGAACCTGCCATCAGCTATGGTTTGTGAGAGCAATGGGTTCTAGCACAGCCAGTAAAAAAAGAAAAGAAAAAAAAAAAAAAAAGAAAAAAAAGAAAAAAAAAGTATGGTTTTATAACTTCTGGAAGTTGGGAAAAGTGAATATTTGTAATTTATTTTAACATGAGCTAATCCCACGCTAAAATTCCAAGGGGAAAGCTCAACCCTTATTGTGCTCTATCTGCAGTATGAGGGAGGGAAAGGCTAAGGACTGGGCATGCATAGGAAGCAGGGATCCTATTTGGCCAATGTGTGTCTCATTCCTCAGGACACGGTGGTTGCTCTGGAAGCCCTAGCCCTATATGCAACGAAGACCTTCAGCAAGGATGGCCCTGATCTTCGGGCTTCTCTCTCCTCTGAGGGTTTCAGCCAAAACATCAGAGTAGACAACACCAATCGCCTCCTGCTGCAGACAGTGCAGCTGCCAGCCATTCCCCGAGATTATACTGTGCATGTGCAGGGCCATGGGTGCCTCTTCCTGCAGGTAAGTCCGGCCAGGGAGAGAAGGTCTGTCTGGGGAAAAGCCTTGAAAGCCAGGGAACCTCTCCCTTGCTACTTAGCCAACCCTGAAAACAGACTGCTGCAGTGACTTGCAAGAATCTGGGCTTCAAGGCTGGTAGGGGTAGCTGGGATCCAACAGGAAGAGAATAGCAATTCCTCAAATGAAATCTGAATCACCTCCTCCCAGTCAGAGCTGCACCTCTTCTCTAAGAAGTCCAGTGAACACCACCAGGAGCAGTGCACTAGCAGAACCTCCAGTTCTGTCACATAGTTTTCTCCTACACCAGTGCAAGACAGCAAATAGCAGCCAAAAGCTAAACAAGGATACTCTCCAGGAAAAACAAACAAACAAACAAAAAACAAACATAAAAACCAACAAACTGCTATTCTCTGCCTACTAGCTTCTTTCTGTCCTGGCAGGCCATTCTGCGGTACCACATCCCTCCACTGAGAAGCGACATCACCTTTGCTGTATCTGTGCAGACAGAGTGCACCGCACCCAACGCCACTCAGTTCCCTGTCATTGTTCATGCTCGGTAGGAGACACTCAGTTGCCCCTTACCTCCCCTGTGCTAAGAGGCTTCCGGCACCACATTAGTCTCTTGATGGTCCGGATTCCCCTTCACTCATGAGGTCCAAATGCTAAGATGTCCCCATTCATTTAACTATGCTCTCCTCAGCTGGGTGAAAGGTACGAGGTCCTAGAGGGATGGCTCAGGCTATAGTCCTGTCTCGTTATCATGCCTGTCCCCACAAGTTCTCCCAAGGCCTATGGGTCTCACCCCCTTCTAGGATTAGGTCTCAAAACACTAGTGATGTGAAGGTTCTGTGGGACTGGCTGCTGACATTTATTCCTGAGTCTTTCCTCCTCCATTTCTGGTTGACTGTCACACCACTCTCCTCTGCTGTACCCCTGCCTGACTTGGGACAGAACTGCCAAGAGAGCAGGCAGAGGATGGGATACTCCCTGCCCTGCCTAGAGAAGGTAACTCGAGAAGCCTTCCAAGGAATTTATTCTTTGCTCAACAAAATTAACAGAGAGATCAGGGGAAGCAAAAAGATCTATTACAGTACAGGAACAGGAGAAACACTGGAAGGAAAGGCAGGTTCCTCCACCTGAGTACCAAAGCTGGACTCGAGCATCTGGAGATCATGGCTCAGAAAATAACACTAGTACTGTCCTCTGGGTTCCTGCTGCAGCTACACAGGGAACCGTGTGTCCACCAACATGGTCCTGATCCAAGTGGAGCTGCTGTCTGGATACAGCCCTGTGGCAGGTTCACTGGAAGAGGTGAGACTGTATGTTTATGTCCAGTTGGGACGGGAACAATGATGGATGTCCATCATGCAGGTTTTTATGCAGAACTGTGATCATTCCTGTGGGCAGAGAAACTTGATCTTTTCTTCCCAAGAAATCTTCATACCCAAAGTCTCTTCCAGGCCACATTTTGCCTTACCCTACCCCAAGGGCTTCCTTGGCCATGTGAACATTTTGCCCATGCTCTCACAAGGACAAATATCCATGAATATTTCTGGTTTCTGTTAGAGTCTTTCTGACATTTTCCCTCTATTTTCAGCTAAAGAAAATGCCTTTAGTGAAGAAAGTTGAAAGCGAAGCTGACAAAGTCATTCTCTACCTGGAGGAAGTGAGTGGCATTTAGGTTAATATAATCATTAAAAGGACTATGGACTGGCAGACAGCTTTTAGCTTACTCTTGTATCTTGTTTCCATTAGAATTTTAAGTATCCAGAGCTGTTGTTCCTGCATACCAGCCACATTCGCTGACCTGGAGAAGTGTGTTGTGTCTGCCTGCAGTAGTCCAGCTGTACAGGCTGTATACAGGGCCACTTAGGTTCAGTGCAATGAGGCTAACTCTGATGTTAAGATTACATCTGTTGAAAGTCCATATACAGCATCTGATCAAGATTGGGGAGTAGCACTAGGATCCATCCATTAAATTCAAGCAAGCCTGATTCTTAGAAAGCCTTTAAGCAGCCTGAATGTAGTAGGGAGCATCCAAGATTGCTCACGGAGTTTGCCAAGACCACTCAAAATTAAACCAGATTGTTGTGTGAGCAGCAGTTCTCTCACTCCACAGCCTCATTAATTAACAGATTAACAACCACTCCAGCCTTTCCTGAGCTACATGCATACCTAAACATCACTAGAAACAACAGCTGGCACGAAATTTAAAACTTCAGAACTTGCAAGGAGCACTTCTACATTTCTGTGATTCCTCATCCCTCTTGCCAATGAGCTGAGCTAAGGTAGCCTCATAGTAAGCAGGTTATTGTCATGCAGATGCATTAGACTTGCAGAGATGCTGCTTTCATTATATCTACAGCACAGAGCAGAAAGACAGCATAGAGAAAGATTTCAGCTCATGTTGCCAGGTAGCACAAGGTGGAACCTGATCAACAGCAGGTCATGTAACTACTACCATCCAGCAGATGTTCATCCGATGCACGTTGTATTTGTCTGCTTAATGATGAGGGTTGTGTGAGACTGGAGAATAAGAGCTGATGTGACAGTACAGTGTATAATAAAGTAGCCACTGAGGCAAGATGCATGAAGGAGCTCAGAGCAGAGCTGGATGGGAATGTGGGATTGGGAACCATAGTACTACATTTAGATACTTAACACACTTTGACTCTGGGTTTGATGTCTCTCATGAGCTGAGTTAAACTTGGTGACCAAAAGTGGGAGATGGCCACAGAATGTGAAGTAAAAGATACTTCTGAGATGGGCTGGAAAGCAGAACAGGTCTGTCACAGTGGTGAGGTCTCCATGGAGCCTGAGTGAGGTAGAAGGGATTGTCTTACAGGACTTTGGTTCTGGCTGTAATCCTTGCATCTCTTGGTCTTAGCTGACTAGACAGCCTCACACCTACACTTTGCTGGTGCAGCAGGACATGCAAGTGAAGGACCGCAAGCCAGCTAATATCAAGGTCTACGATTACTACATGCCAGGTAAGCTCAGATGCCCTACTGCAAAAACCACCCAACTGTACCATTGGAAAGAAATTTTCTGAAGTTGCCAAGTCTAAGACAATAGCAAACCCGACGTTTATCTAACTGCCCTTAGAAGCTCTCTAGTGATGGACTTACCCTCTTGGGTTTCAAAATGGTAGATCTTTCTTTCTTTAGTCCCAGAACTTGCAAGCTCCAAGTTGGTATGTAGATCCATTTAGGGTCTAACTCTCACAACAAGAGGGGAGCAAGGAGCTCAGAGCCATGCTTTTGTACACTCATTTTGTGGGAGGCAGCAAAGGCAGAGGGACCATACTGAGGAGATGGCTTAGAAACTTGAGAGCCCCTTAGAAGAATGACATTGAAAACAAGTTGTCCTCTGTTCTCCAGGGTCCCTAGTGGGAGGAAAAGCTGGAAATGTGTCAGGGATGGCTATTGCTTCAGAAAATGAGGAATCCATAACTGTAATGGAGTTGTTTGGGACTTAGGGCTTTAAAAGATTGCAAACCCCTTGACTTGGGTGCATCCAGACTAGCTGTACACAAAGTCTTTGACACATAGCAGTGGTTTCATGTATCACAGCAGAGGGGAGTCATGCCCTGTAAGCTGAGGGATCACCTCTCCTAGAAACAGACACACAATGATGGGTTGCTTTAGTGAGCTTTTGGCAAGTGTATCTCACCAGAACTTTGTTTCTCGTCTTCCAGAAGAAACTACAGTGATGAGTTACAGTGCCCCATGCGAGTAAGGTGAGGACCCAACATGTCTTTTGTCATCACAGGCATGGTTCTGAAGAGTATGAAGCAGGAGGAGGATGCAGGCAAGGGCCCTTGGTCAAGAAACTTGCCAAACTGCAGGTTCAGGGTAGGAAGTGGTTAGCAATGCCAAGTAAGGGTGAGTTCCTGTATCTCAGTGGTTAAACTGAGGGAAAGGGAGGACTGAAGTGAAAGGTTTGAGGTGCCCAGTTCATGACAGAGTTGGAGATATGTTACAGAACACAAGACCTGCCTGTCCCAAGTCCTACCATCAGTCTTGACATATTGCATCAAATATACTTTCCTCAAGTCAACAGAGTTCCTTTTCCTGGCGCTTTCCCTGCAGTTCCACAGCCCCTCAGCCCTGCACATGCAACACAGCATATTCACCTTTGCTGCAGGGCCTGTCTCCTTTCCAGTGCCAAGACTTCCACAGTCTCAGCCTGGCTTCTGATCCATGTTAGGGAATGGGCACCTGCCTGTCCTTTTTCCAGGCTGGGCAAAGGCAAAGCTTGAACTTGGCCAGTGCCTGCTCCTGTTCTAAACTTTGCTTGCATCTGCATGCTTCCTTGTCCATAGCCACAAGATGGAGAAAAACACCTGCTTCATGAATCACCTGTGGGAGGCACACAGCCCTGCCCTAGGATGCCTGCCACAAGCCCCACACTCTTAGTGGAGATTCTGCCGTAAGTTTTGTATGGCTAGAGTCAGAGAGAGCCCTGTCCTTGATTTCTTGGCAGTCCTGTTTGGTCATGAGGTGAAAAAAATCCCCGAGTTCTCAGTGGGTATCTGAGTTTTAATCCCGAGTATCTAGTTTTAATACTTCAGGAACACAGACTTTTTTTGTCCTTTGTTGTCTTCACAGGAACAGGGACAGACCCGTCCTCTGCAGTCTCTGTCCGTCAGTCCTATGTCACCCCTGCCAACAGCCACCACATGGAGATGAAAAGCAAAGAGAAAATTACTTTCAATTTCATGCTGAGCAGTTAGTTTCTGAAAGGCTCAGTCTGTGCATGGGACCTTATTAAAAGTCAGGAGACTAGAACTGTCTGTTTGAGTGATTTTTCAGGTTTACTGTTTTTCTCCCAAAACAGGAAAATTGCATTTAAGAGCACTTGGGAAAAGTAGCTATTTCACCTCTGCTCTGTGTATGCATGTACATATACACACGCAGAACTCTGCCCCTCCAGTAGTGGACTTGCACAGGAGGAGGTAGAGCACGCACCAAGGCACAGCTGGTATCTGGGGGAGGTGACCATCACACAAGTTGGCGCTAAAGGCAATTGAGGGTTGTGATATGTTCAACAGTTCCATTGGCCAACGGTTGCATTTAGAGACCTTTATCAAGAGTAACTGGCAAGGTTGTACTGCTAAGGGGGGGGTGGGGGGGTGGGGGTGAGAGGCTAGGGTCTCAATGCACTACGTTACTATCAGGAGACTGCTTCAAAGAAGAGCTTATGGCACAGGAGCTTGCAGGAAAGGCAGAGGAGATACAGCTGTCACAGCATTTTCAGTTGCATCTTGTACTCCAAACCTGCCTGGGTCATACTGCAGGAAGTATTAGGAGAAACCATGGGAAACATGAGAAGAGAACAACAGAGGAGCTAGAAGGTTTGTACATTGGCAATGCCAGAAACGGTATCTTTATGGGCTAAGCCATAAGTAGTTCATCAACAACTGGCACAATGGCAGCAAGGTCAGGGGTCATGCTTACTTTAATTCTTCTTCCCAGGTGTGTACCAGATATGTGATACCACCCACCCTGCCCCAACGAGGCCCTCACTGTGCAGGCACAACTGCTGGACTGTTGTGATCCCTCAGTTCATCCACTCAGGTGCAGGACCACATGGGCTCAACTTTAATATGGCCTTTGTCCCAGCTGGGGCACTTCCTTCCATTCAGCACCCAACCTGAAATATTGGGCAAAGGCAGGAGTCATAGTGTGGCAGTTCCTGTCCTTTCCTTTATCAAAATTTTGGGAGCTCCTCCACCCCTTTCTGAGGAACCATGTGCAATTGTAGAGATAGAAGGTAAGACAAACAAGGAGGGCATGATCCTGTCCCTCCATGGCTATCATCAGGCTGTGAAAGGTGCCTTGTCTTGGCTAGTAGTGGGGGTGGCTCTCTAGGCAGGTCCCTAGGCAGCACTCTCTCTGTGGAATGGTGTCAGGATGCAGCATATACCATGTCAAGAGTCTGTCTTGTGCTTCCAGAAGGGACTTCTCCAGACCTATCCTGGCTTCAGGCTACTACTAACAAGCCATCCCCCTTCTGGCAGCTGGGTATGTCACCCTACGAGAAAAAATATTACATCTTCCCAGATTCACCTTGCTCCTTTGGCTCCTTGAATCCCTTTCCTAACCTGCAATGAATACAGTCAGGGGTGGATGGAATGGAGCTGGGTCTGGGTCTGAGGACCCTTGTTAGCACAGGCTAACAATAGCTCTGCATTCTCACTACACATGATGCTCAGCCCATCCTTCTTCACTCATTTTGAGAGGCGCTGTCCCTGTCTCTGCCTTTCACCAGAGCCTTCCAGCTGCCTCCCTGTCTGCAAAAGAGACCCCATCCTAGCTCGGCACACCTAGCCACAAGCAACTACCAGTTCCTCTTTCTAGCTGGATAAATGCTCCCCACTGATTACCATCCTCCTTCCCGTCTTTGCTTACATTCCCTCTCCCACCCAAGACCCATCATTTCCTGATGTCACTGTTTGTGTCACACAGGGGCTTGCTGCCTACCTCAACTACAGACAGCACTGTAGTCAGCCAAGGCTCGCTCCTCTGCAAAAGGAAATAAGGAAATCAGTCAGAGAAGAGTGTACAACGTCTTTTCTCAGCCAGAGAACTAGGAACCCAGCTCCCAACCCCAAAGCAGGAGGGAATCTGCAACCCACCTGGCTGGTAGTAATCATAGACTTTGATGCTGGCCGGTTTCAGGTTCTTCATCTGAATTACTTGTTCCAGTTGCAGAATGAAAGTCTGAGATTCATCATTGAGCTTGTGAAGGTGGATAGAAATTAGCAAGGAAGGGAGAAAGAAGTCATAGCATCTTCATCTTCCCTAGCTTAAATGTTTTCCTGCACTAAATCTCTGTAATCCATTAGAGATTCTGGATTTTAAAAATGGAGCACGTGTGAGGAATAGCAAATGCTAATCCAATGACAATGAATTTGGGCAAGCTTCCTCTGCCCACAGTTCTGCCAGTG